TGACTCTTCTTGTGTGAATGCACTCCAGTGGCTGGTGGACCATCTGCGTGGTGGCTGTGGCGTCTAGCCGCTTTTGCAGCAGCCATGGTTATTATGGTGGCTGTGGTGGGCCACCCAAATGGAGGTGCTGTTTTTGGTATGCTCCTTGGCACTGGCGGTATGCCTGGTTGTGAGGTGTGTTTGGTTCCCTTCTCTATGCCTCTGGTCACTGGGTGGGACCCAAGGTGCTGGCTTGGTGTGCCTGGTTGTAGGACGGGGGTCCAGTCCCCTTCTCCTTGTCCCAGGTCCCTGGGTAGGCTCCGAGGTGCTGGCATGTTGTACCTGGTTGTGGGAGGGTGGTCCATTCCCCTTCTCCTTGCCCTGGGTCCCCAGGCTGGCCCCGATGCACTGGTGCAGTTTGCCTGCAAGTGGGAGTGGGGTCCGGTCCCTAGATCCAAGCCTCCAGTTCCCAGGCAGGCCCCAAGGTGCTGGTGGTGTGCCTGGGCCAGAACTAATTTTTTGTCCTTTGCTTCTAACATGGGGGAACTTCCTGTGGGAACCAGTACTTGAGCTGTGTTGTTGAACTAAATTGCTGCTTTGCTGCTGTTTCCCTAGGGAAGGCTTTTTGTGCAGCTCAGGGGTTTTTTTTGTTTGTTTTTGTTTTTTTGTCTTTTTGACTGACCGGCAACGGGATCGCAACCCTCGGTGTTGCGCCTGCACCGGGCTCAGCCAGTGAGCGGGAACCGGTCTCCACATGGGATCTGAACCCTCGGTGGGAGCGCCGCCGCACTCCCAAGCGGCGCACTCTCCAGTGCACCACCCGGCCGGCCCCAGCTCAGGGTTTAATGGTTGATCTTATAGGTACTTCTGGCTCTCCAGAGACCCAGTGGGTCTGTGTTCTGTAGAATCTCTGATCTGGGCTGAGTTTTTTCATCAAACTGTACCCCATGCAATTCTGCATTCCTGACCAGTCTCCTCTGAGTGGTCCTGTGCTGACTGGGGGGCAGATCAGCTGTCCTTGCTGTGTCCCAGTGTTCCCCTGGTGGGCCCGTCTCCCCCACCGCCTGTGCTGCAAACACTTCCCATGGGACGGGCTGTGTGCAGTTCCCTTGCGATGACTCACTGGCTTCTGAATGGCTCCCTTTTTCAGCTGTTCTGGCTCCTCGCTCCTATATGGGTCCACAGGAACCCTATTAGTGGTCTTGCTGTCCTGGGGGCCACCGAGGCCTTCTTCTCTCCTGCCGACCGAGGCCTTCTCCTCTCCTGCCACCTCCAAGTAAGTCTATCTGGAGGGCACAGCTGCGGCTCCTGCCAGCTCTTGCTCCATGTGTTCATCAGCTCAAGCCTTAAAGCAGCCGCAGCTCGATATGCTCAGAGCAGCTTTTTCTTTCTTTCATCGTAGTTTCTCCCACCTTCATTAACTCCGTAGGTCTCTCCTCCTCTCCCCCTGAGCTCCAGTGGCCCCAGCTTTGCTGATGTTACATTTTTATAGTTGTAAATTTGGTTGATTTGTGGGAGAGAGTGACGTTGCGGACCATCCATTCCACCATCTTGCCCAGGCTTATTTTAATTGTGAATAAGTCTGAGTCATTTAGGTGTTCAGAAGTTTAATTCTTCTGTTGTTGAATGTAAGACACAGATTGGAAAAATATTGAAGGCAAATGTATATGTGCCTTCACACATGTGCGTTCTTGTAGTTCTTTATGAGTGTTGGTATAGTACACGAACAGATGATTCAAGAGAGTAAATAAGTCTTAACGAACAAGAAAAAAGATCTCACTTCACTAGCTGTTGAAGAAACTTAGACTAAAGTAATAGCTTTTCAAACCTATCAAACCAAAAGACTGTTTTTTAGTGGCTGGCCACAGGGATCAAACCCTGGACCTTGGTGTTATCAGCATCATGCTCTTACCAACTGAGCTAACCCACCAGCCTCCAGAAGGCATTTTTAAAAGACACTACTTAGTATCTATGACAGTGTGATAAAACTTGATAAGGTGCTAGTGAAAAAAAGGAAATTGTCACCATTGCTCCACTAAGCAGTGTGGGTCTAGGTCTCAAAAACCTGACTGTTCTGATTCCCACCCTCATCCCAGCCCACTTATTTCATTTTAGGGACTGTCTTCTAAGAAAATGCTCTAAATTTGAAATTATCAATTTGAAAATATTTATCACAGCATTATTTAAGTTGTCAAACTTGGAAACAACCTCAACACCAACCATGAAATAAGTCACCCTCATAGGTTAGCCCTTAAAATCTCGACAGAAAAGAAACAATATGGGAAAATGTATATCAAGTTGAGGAGAGAAGCAGAATACTAAATTATTAAATTCATTCCAAATACCTGGAATGAACATAACTCTGTAAAACTATGCAAAGGAACTGTAAAAGGAAATATCAGTGTTAATAATGCTGTTTGTGTGATGAGATTGATGGATCATGTTTCGATCTTTTTCTATGTTTTTATGAGCCTCCTTTTCTTTTATTACAGGAAACCTCAATCCAAGATTATTCAATACAGGCCATTTGTGTTTATTTATAGGCTTTTACTTGGTCACGTTATATGGACTAATCCATCTTAATGACTTTCTCTGAATGCCTGTTACCATGGAGGTCACATAGGGAGCACTCAACCAACCCTGTTTTGTAGCATTTCCTAAATGTTTCAAGTATAGTTTACAAGACTCTCTGCCTTTGAGAGCAGAGTACTGGTTGCCTCTGAATTTTCTGGACACATAAGAGAAGCTCACATTCTTGCTGGATTTATCCTTTGTGTCTTGCTTCTTCTTAATTCCCATCTCCTTTCTCTGGTCCAAAAGATTTGCAACTGGAGCTGATTTTCCTTTAATGTTATGTTTTTAGACAATGGGCCCTGCCTGGGATATAGAAAACCAAACCAGCCCTACAGATGGCTGTCCTACAAACAGGTAAGTCAAGCCCATGGTTTTAGAAAGATTCTTTTGCTAACGTAGTATCCTGAGTTAATTTGGTCTCTTGTGGGTCTTGACCTCTTTCTCTTTCTCTTTCTCTCTATCTCTCTCTCTCTTTTGCAGGTGTCTGATCGAGCAGAGTACCTGGGCTCTTGTCTCTTGCATAAAGGATATAAGCCATCACCGGACCAATTTGTTGGCATTTTTGCTCAGAATAGGCCAGAGGTAACCATGTTGAGGCTAACTAAAGGAGATGAGTCAGGGTTAAGTTTAAACCCCACCACCAATTCAGCGTTCTGACACTTGCTGATGACTTACCAAAGTTACTTTAAGATCATTCTTCTGCTTGAAAGTGTTACAGTTTAGAGCTTCCTTAATTCTTGGTTAAATGTCAAGTGCTCTAATCTAGATGTTAGGACTTCCCTTATTTTCCAGTCCATCATGGGTCATTTTAAGTCAGTCTGCTTATTATATAAGGAAAATAAGGAAGCTGTGAGGGACTGAGAAATAAGATTTTGAAAATATTGTGGAAAGGGATGTATTAGATTTGGAACTTGTGTGTTATACTTGAACTAGTAAACCAAGGAACCCACTGCTGTTGCGTCTGCCATAGCCATTTTTCCACAGTGAGTTGGAAGTAGATTTGGGATATTAAAGTGATTGGAATTAAGCTTATCTCCAAGTTCTAGTTAAGTCATTAGGCCTAATATCCTCAGGGAAAGTCTTTGTATGGTTCATATCCTCACTAGAGCTAATTGCCTAAGGACTAGTCTGGGAGGACACTGGATGCACTTTTAGGTGAATCTACATACCCCGTATTTATTACACTCAGCCTTAGTAAGAAGAGGTATTCTTGACTCTAGTTTAGTAACTTAGTATCAAACCTGGTAGGTTAGTCTTCCAGGCTGCCACAATAAAATACACAGGCTGTGTAGCTTAAACAACAGAAATTTATTTTCTCACAGTTCTGGAGGCTGGAAGTCCAAGATCAGGGTGGCAGCAGGTTTGGTTTCTCCTGAGGTCTTTCTCCTTGACTTGCAGATGGCCACTCTCATTACATCCTCACATGGCCTTTCCTCTGTGTGCGTGCATCACTGGTGTCTCTTCCTCTTCTTATAAGGACACCAATCATATTGGATTAACTCCTCCTTATGACCTCATTTAACCTTAATTTCCTCTTAAAGGGCCCATCTTAAATAGAGCTACCTTGGAGGTTATGCATTCAACGTGAACTGGGGAAAGGGGACAATTCAGCCCACAACACCTAGACTGACATTTAAGGCCCACCATTAGCAGATTCTGACCGCCTCTCCAATTTTATTTCCTGTCACTCCTCATGCTTGCTGATGTATATATACAGTGATATCACACTATCCTATCTTTGTTCATTCACTTCCTTCTTGAATGCCTTACCCACCTCCGTATCCATAACCAAATCCTATCCATCTTCTAAAGCCCTGCCCAATCTCCATCTTGTTTCCTAGAGCACTCCACCCTTGAAAGTGATTTTTGCCTTTTCAGACTCCGGCAATGCTTCCCATACCTCCTATGGATGGAACTTGTCACACTCTACCTTTGTATTCCTGTCTACCCTTGAATTGTAGTGATCTCTACACCTGTCTTATCTTCCTCTAGTATCAGTGACAGTCCCTGTGGCACCACAGTGATTTTTTTTTTTTAATGTAAAAGTTACCAAATAAGCATTTGTTGGCTGAATGACTGAACTAATACTCTTTAAAGTTCTCTCCAGTCCTTATTTGGGCCTCTCTCCGTACAGTGGATCATCTCCGAGTTGGCTTGTTACACATACTCCATGGTAGCCGTTCCCCTGTATGACACCTTGGGAGAAGAAGCCATCATATATATTGTAAACAAGGGTAAAACTTTGTTATTACATTACAACTTGATTCTTTCTTAATGCTAAATAATTCTTCAATCTCTGCTTTTTTTTTTTTTTTTTTTTTGCTTTTTTTGGCAGACTTGAAATACTGTGGCCAAAAAATGCTCATGTCTTTCTTGTCTTTCTGGTCCTGTAATATTTAGGATATAATTTATAGAGAAGTTACAAAAAGCC